TCTACCTCACCCCTTCCAATATTTTTAAGTACTTTTAGAAAGACAGCCAAGTGTTCCCAGCAACATGTTTCCGGGTTTGAAAATGAAAAAAGAACTTCCCAGCAGACCCTTCATGCCTCAAGGGATTCCTCCCTGGAGCTATGCTGCCCTTTAACTCCTGCAGAGAAAACTTCCTAGCCTCACCCCAAAGGCAAAGCCCAAAGCAAATAGGACATTTTTCTGAAGTTCTGTATTTTATCTTTAAACCTTAGGCAAATTTTACAGTTTCCCCCTTAGGGTATACATGTTTACCTCAATTATAGCGTCTTAAGGTTTAAAGCCAACTCTTAAGGGTCAGTTCCAGTGGTCTCCACCCAGCCTTCCCCAGATCATTTGCATCTCCTGCTGATGGGCAGGAGGGGTAGGGTTAAAAGAAAGGCTGGACCAGAATCAGTTGGAAGGGGGAAAGCAAGTCACCACTCTCACTGTTTTCTTCCTCCTCCCCTCCTACTCCTCCTCCTCCCCTCCTCCTCCCCCTCCTCTTCAGGGCTGGGAATGAAACCCAGGGCTTTGCACATGCCAGGCAAGTGCTCCACCACTAAGCCACATCCCCAGAACAAATCACACTCTGTGCACTTACCCCAGGCTGAGCCAAGATCTCTGCATCTATTCATATATTTAATCTTCCCAGCATTCCCATCAGCTAAGTTCCCTTACTGTTCCCATATCACATAAGAACACAGGAAGGAGGCTTTGGGCCCACAGCCACCTGGGTAGACTCACATTCCCCGTGTAATCTCCTACAGGAATTGCCAGGGACAAGAAAGACAGTGATCATGTCAGGCTTTTGTCCTGGAAAGGAGCCCAGGGACAAGACTGAGAGACCAAAGGTCACTTTCCTCCCGGCCTGAAACTCTTTGAAGGAAAAACTCCCTGGAAGTCTTGCAAAAGTATCCGCGGAGCCTGTATCCTGTGAGCCCATATGGTCACCTGTAGCCACACAATCATTTAGGGGTGGCAGGGTTCAGTGTTTAAGCCTGTGTTCACCTAACTGGAGGACCCCAAAGAGAATCTCAGTCTCACCATTTGCTGCACAAAAAATGTTTCGGGTCCTAGGGTGATTCTTGGGTTTCTTTCCAATGCCAGGCCAGAGTCTGCAAGGAAATTCACTGGCCTGTTAACCATCACCCCCCACCCCTGCCCCCCAGTTGCAGTTAACAGGGAGTAGCCACATCCCCCACACCCTGAGGGATTGCTAGGAGGCACTGGACGCTTCATTGATGCTGCTCTGGACAGTGGAATGAGCCCTAAGAGGAACCCAGGTGGAGGGCCCGGGGCCAGTGGGCTGCTTTGGTTGCCTGGAAGTAGCCACATTCTGCTCCACCACCCCCACCTCCCGGCTTGTGTTTCCTGAGGGTGTGGGTGAAAGGCAGGTTAGGTCATTGCTGTCTTAAGCTCCCCTAACTAGAGGTGCCCATTGGGTTTGGGGACAGGGACTCACTATGTAGTCCGGGCTGGCTTCACACTCAGGGGCCCCCTGCTTCAACCTCATAAGTGCTGAGAGTTCAGGCCTGTACTACCATGCTGGCTTGGGGAGGCAAAATAACTCTAGGGTAGCAGTAGTCAGTCTGTTAATCTATTTATCTGTTAGTTGAATTGGGCAATTTCATTTTATTTGAGGTTCATTTCACCTCTTATTAAGGCTTAATTTTTTTTTGTTGTTTGTTTGTTGTTGTTTGAGTCAGGGTCTCATACCTTAATCCAGGCCTGGAATTCAAGACCCACCCGCCTCAGCCTCCCCAGTGCTGGGATTACAGGCCTGCACCACCACACCCAACTAGCAGATGTATTTACATCCTACAGCAGACCAGACTTCCCTGCCTTGTGCTTTATACAGTAATCTACAGGGAGCATCAAAATTGAGTGCAGGTCTGGATTGCTTTGTAAACTGTAATAGCATCCAGTGCCCATCAAACTTTAATGATACAGCAAGTTCTGGCTAGACCCATATCCAGTTTCATCTCTTGGATGGCAGTAATGAAAGATGTATTCCACAAGAGGTTTCAATATTTCCAGTCCTAATTATTCATCCACAATTGAACAATGTACTTCATTTCATTATATACTCCAGAGGACTAAATGCCTGTCATAGGTCATGTGCACATGGATGTAAGAGGTGGTTGACTTTTAGCCAGGAACTTTGAGAACTCTTGAGAAGAAACCAGGACCTAAACTTACTCTTCCCAATGATGCATATAAAGTTCAGCTCTTTAATAAAAGGATTTGTGAATATGAAAACAAAGTCCCTGGATGAAGGAAAGAAAGGTCCTTCAAAATGGTCAGTGCTTGTTCTGATTAGATTATGCATTTTTAATATAGTGGGTAACAAGTGAAACTCTTTTAAAAAAGCATGCAGGAATTTAAAATAAAGTGGGACATCCTACGTTTCAGGGTCAGCAGTATCACAGCAAGATTTGTCTCTTAAACAATGACATTTAGTATCTCTGTAGTTCTATGAATACTTTTGAAGTGTCATATTAAAACCAATCTCATGGCCTTAAGGCAAAGGGAAGCAATTAGTCTTGGAGTTGTGAATAAATAAAAATCCATTTATATACCCGTCCTTGACATGTACCTTGAAAATCTCAGAAACTTCATCTAGAGGGAAAAGAAACGTTAAATCATGAATACCAATACTAATCACATTGCCACGTAGCATCCTAAAACAGTGGAGTTTATACCAATCTTTTAAGTATTAATTTATATGTATGTATTCACTCATATTGAACACAAAACAAAGGCACACTAGCAGCCACTTGGGTGAAGAGAAGTGAGGGGTGTCAGGGGCCAGTAGGGCCTTGACAAGTCGGTTTTCAGGGGCTCCTGTTTCCTTAAACGAGCCTGGTATATTTTCCTTTCTCCCTTCTTCAAAGGCATGGGAAGGTTTCACCTCAAAAACGGGGACAGCCACACAGCACCCCTTCCATTGGTGATTTGGGGGAGGTCACAGTTTGCTCTTTTTTAAAGGGTCAATTTCTTCAACGCTGGGGGGATTTGACTGTTTCTAAGTATTACAGTGTCAAAAGATTGGGGAAAGCCAGCTACAGAGCTGAGGCTATGGGGCAATGGCTAGACTTGGCCTGCTTACCAGCCAGGAGAGGGGTGGTGTTTAGGCAAAGCTGGCAGCTACAAGCCCTTAGGGCTCGGGAGCATGCAGAACAGAGTGGGCAGCCATGGGCCCCACAGCACCGATTACTGACCTACTTCCAGGGCCCCTTTCTGTTCTAAGAGCAGCTTAAAAATCCATAAATTAAGGAAATTAACTGATGGGGCCTGCGGCATCTTTGTAAGCTATTTAAATCTATAAATTTACAACATCTTTTGCATATATCAAGTAATTGAACTAACTGCAGGGATGTAACTTTAATGAGAAAATTTCCCCCTTCTCCAGTAGTTTGAGATTAAATAAATAAATAAATAAATAAATATAAATAAATAAATAAATAAATAAATAAATAAATAAATAAATCCCTTAAGAGGAAAGTTTCTTATTCCCACGCGAAGTTGAAGAAGCGCAGTCCGAATGCTCTCTCCACACATGAGGTCCCTTAAATCAAGGGAGACTGGTCCTCCTGGCACATTATCCTTCCGCCAGCTCCAGGGGCTCAGGTCTGACCTCGAGAGCACCCCCAGAACTTTGACCACTAGAGGGCGCCCAGGCCCAGCCCGAGCCGCTGGAAAGGGGCCCGGGCGCCACTCCCGGCCGGAGCGCACCCGCCCTCCAACCAGAGTCTGGCTTTGGCCCGGGCGTCCCGGGAACCAGGCGGGGGCGCAGTGTGGGCAAAGCGCACCGGCCGCGATCGGCTTCCTTAGAACTGAGAAATGGTCGGGGAGGAGGAGGGACGGGCGGGGCGCAAGGGGAAGGAAAGCAGGGGGAAGGCGCAGAGGACGCGGGGAGCAGCAAGGGGCGCCCCGGGCGCAGGCCTCCGCACCGCGGGGAGCCTTGGCCGCCACCGTCTCCATCGCGCCGCGCGCGTCAAGGAAATGGCGCGAGTGGCCGCGGGCAACCGGCCGTGTGCCCCGCGCCCCTCCCCCGCGGCGGCCACCGCGTGTCCGCAGACGTCACGGGCTGCTCTGCTCCCCGGAGAGGGGCAGCCGGGGCCGAGACCCTTGGAGGGAGGCCGCCTTGCAGCCCAGTTCCCCCCCATCACATCCAAGTCCCCCAACCCCAGCCCCGAGGCGCCTCGGCGGCGGCTGCTTCTCTCCTCTTTGTAACCGAGGAGTCGAGAAATGTGAGAAACGTGCCCTGTGTTACTTATTTGGGAGTCGAAAATTTATGCCCAGCTGAAAGCGCCCGGGGAAATATTACATCAGATGAAATGACAATGATTAAAATCAGCTTCTCCCCCGCCCCCTCCCCGAGCCTGGAGGAGGCCCGGGCGCCGCGTGGCCGGCCGGCGGGGGGCTGGGCCGTGGAGGACGCGGGGCCGGGGCGCAGCGCTCCCCGGAGGGTCCTAGCCGAGCCCCCGGGCGCCAAGGCACCGGGCTCCGGGACGCACGGGGTGGGGATCGCTGGGCGAAGAAGAGAGGGAAACGGTGCATTTTTGTCGCCGAGCGCGGCAGGCGCGGGCGCGCGGAGCTAATTGCGACTCTAATCCTTTGCCCCGCGGCGCAGCCGAGCCCCGAGCCAGGAGTCGCCGCGCGCGCCCGCCGCGCCGGGGTAATTTGGAACCGGATCGCTGCCCTTTGCAGTCCGGGCTAGGCGGCGGCAAGACGCAGGAGCTACGGGGCTAGGGCTGGGGGGCTGAATTTTTTCTTTTTCCTCTCCAGCCATCGGGGGAGGCCGCTGGAGAAAGAGGTGGGGGGAGAAGAGGTGGGAGCGGCGGGAGGGCAGCCGGAGAGCAGCGCGAAGAGGAGGCGGCGGCGGCG